CCTCAATGGACGAAAATACATATGGAAATATAAATAGAGTTTTGGTCCTCAATTCATATGAGACTTCTCACTCTTTGTGCCTTCCGTCAATACAAGAATAATTAAGAGAAAGCATATTGAAGAGAAAGATCTAATACACACAATCAAAAATCAAGAGAATTGATCAAGAAACAAAACTAATAACAAGAATTAAAGAATCAAATAAAACAAAATTCAAGATTGAAAATGAAGAAGCCAAACATTGAAAAGATTGTAGCTCAAGTTTCAAGATCTAGTAATAAGGAATTATTCCAAATGAATGTATGTTCCACATTTAATAATTATTTTGGTGATTTGACATGAAAGATGTTCACAATAAAGGAATTTAAATTTTCAAGTTCTAAATGTTTTAGTTTTAAAGTTTCAACATTTTAAAATTCAACGCAAGAGAGTTAATAGATTTTGGATGGTCTCTACTTAATTATGTCAACATATGTACTTGTTTTCTATCTCATTATTTTAGATTCTTGATTAGGTTCTATTTGTAATTGATTTTAGAACCCAACTTATGATACTAAAATAATCAGAAGTTGTTTTAGATGTTAGATAAATTTTTAAAAATTGATTACAGAAGAATCTGAACCTTTAGAAAATGATTTTAAGAAGCTAGAAATGGTGCTTTTGACTTCTTCATTGTCTATAATTAAAATATCAATTTTAATCGTAGTCAATTAAATTTATTTATTTTCTACTGTATGGATTATGATTTTATTTTGTAATTTTATAAATTTTGAGATTTAATAAATATTTTTTTAAAATTTTAAGATAACTATGGTGAATATATGTAGTCTTAGAAAAATATTTAATAATTTTAAATAGTGTCACAAAGTAAAAGTATTTTTTTACCATAATATCTATAGTAGTAACAATACAAATGAAATTATTATAATCAATGTCCAGCTTAGTAATTTTATACTGGCACATCAATAAATCACTTTTATTTACCAAATGCTAAAATATTGATTTTAAAACATCCAATAGTTTTGGAATAAAAGTTTACCACAGTTAACTTGATAGTTTATGCAATCGATTATTTTAATAGCACAACAAATTTTGATTCTCTTAAAAGCACAATAATACCAAACAAAGCCTTAAAAGGCAATGAAATGGGAAATATGAAGTGCTCATGGATTAGAACGAAATAAATGTTGAGTTGTGATTAGTTGGTGAACTATCGCAGGAAGGAAATTTAAGCTGCAACAAGAGCATGTTTGGATGATTTGAATAATAAGTAAAAATTAGTTTTAATTAAATTTTGATGCTAATTTTTTTTGGAGAAGTTAGTATTTTTCATAATTTTTACGTGCAAAAAGTTTTTTTTTTTTAAGGTACCTCTTACTTCATAACTTACTGGTTTTCAATTTTAATTGGTAAAGAAATTACTTGTTTATTTTTAATTAGTTTAAATATATACATAAAGCTGTGGTGTACGTATAAATTAAAGAGATGAAAATGTATATATGTGTCCAATATTGGGTGATTATCTATGTCATTTTACATAAAGCCATTTCAATAAGGTTAAGGATTATTTTATTCACACAACAATTTTTATTTCTTGCACTAGGCCCTGTTTGATAGAAAATTTTCCAACTTTTTGCTTGTTAGATGGTATAAATTTTCCATGGAATTTTCCTTGAATTGGTTAAGAAAATGATTTTCAGCTTTTTCTTTCTTTTTTTTTAAAAATATTTTTAAATTTTTTTGACAATGGAAACAAATTATATCCACAATTGTAACAAATATCATCTTTTTAAGTGATAATTTTCATGAAAAACAAAGTCAAACGAATACCAAAAGATTCAAAATTTTAACATTTTTTAAGTGAAAAATTATACCAATTAAAAACATTAAGCCCCCGTTTGGCCCTCATTCTCTTTCATTTTTTTCTTCTCTTATTTTCAACAACATAATCTTCCATAAAATAATATTACGCGTAAATCAAAAAAATTTCGTTCTTTTTCAACCACACATTCTTCAAAAAATACTATTCCAAACATCAAAATTTGGAAAAATGGGGAGGCCAAACGGGGGCTTAATTGACAATTCTCAGTAAAACAAGTTCTAGACAATTCAATTTTCTGAAATTCGTTTTTTTCACCCAAATTCTATTTTTACAATCAAATGGACCCTTAAAGTAATTAATTCTTGCTTATTGTAACACTTATGTTCCTAAAGATTTTTCATATTTTTCTTATCCTCAAACTTTTCATTAGTTAATACATTTTATATTTAAAAACGATTTTATTTCTAAAGTCCATTAAAATGTATAAAACAACTTATTTTCTCATCATACTTTTTTAAAAATTAAATAGATAAAATGTGCAAAAAAATATTTTTCTCTCGTTTCAAAGCATCAAAACAAAATATTTTGGTATAAATCATTAGCAATGACAAAACATACTAGTTAATGGAAGGTTGGAGATAAGAATTTGACAAAAAAAAAGTTACAAAAAATTTACAATGAGCAAAAGTTGAGAAGTTTAACTGCAATTAAAATGTGGTGTATCAATTAAAATTTTTGGTGCAATATAACCATCCTAAGTTTAGAGCTCGTTCGGTAGGGATTTTGAAAAAAAAAATTATCGTTAGAGATAAAGTGAATCCTACCTATGAAAGAAAAATTCAAAAATGATGACTTAAATAGTGAAATAATGGTCAAAAAATTGATTTTAATTGATTTAAAATCTAAACCAAACAATCACTTAATTATATACAAACCACATTTGTTTATTTGTTACATATTATTTTAACTGCACTTAATGTCCTCAAGGTTTTTCATTGTAGCACTGGTTGTGAGAGCCATACCCGTGAGCGAGAGAGATGAAAAGTAGGTTTTGAATTTGGGGAATTGAGCTGGGTGTTATACGGTGATTGGTGGTGGAAGGTGGAGAGAGACGAGAGTAAGAGCTGAGGTGCCGTTGGTCGCAGAGAAAGACGAGAGTGAAAGCTAAATGCACATGGCGAATTCGTGGAGAGACGGAGGAGGAAGGGAATAGGAGAAATATCACGTTTAGGGCTTGTAAAGTATCAATTTTTTTACAATACACGTCGTGCACTAAAAGCACGCCGAAAATACTCGTTTAATATGGCATGCATCCTCTGCACACTGTAAATACTTTAATTAATTAATCTTTTACGGCATTCATATAGCGCATGACGTAATTAGTCTTTTTTTACGGCATGCAGTACATGCACGCCGTAAATGAATGTTGTAAAAAGTTGCTTTTGTTGTAGTGCATTAATTAAAACATCCTAAATTTGTTAATGATTTCCCAAAAAGGTTATTGGGATGCGAAAGGGCATCAAAATACTTTTTCTTAATTTTAAAGCATGAAACAAAATATTTAATAGAAACCGTCATCAACAATGAGATATGCTAATTAACGGAAGTTTGAAAATGAAAATTTGATGAAAAAACTAGGTATATAAGTGATATACAATAAGTAAAACTTAGAGACCTTGAATATAATATGATGCAACAATTAAAAATTATAGTGTTAATATAACCACCTTATCAGTAAATAAGAAAATAAATTTTCAGAACAAAAATAAATCAGATGCGTAACTGTGATACTTCAATTGCACAACTTTTACCAGTTTTACGACATTGGACAAACTACGAATAGAGTGAACAATCTGTCTCTTTGAATTATCAAATGATATACATTAGGTTATGTTGAAGAAATAAATATATAATCTTCCGATCTTTAATCAATTAATTAAAATTTTTAGATCAAGTAGCTGTCATTTTAGTTTCGCGCTAAAGTTGGCAAAGAACTCAAGTCCTTGTTTGATTTTCATTATTTTCAAAATATATTTTTCCCTCTTTTTTTTCAATCGCATATTCTTTAATAAAATAATATTGCATGTAAATCAAAACTTTTTCTTTTTTTTTTTTATCCACCCATGTTCCATCAATCTACTAATCCAAAATGCATTCTTAGATTATAATGGGGCTCAAAGAGTATCATTTGGATCCCAAGGAAACACATTGGACATCCTACATATATATAATGAATTTTAAAATAGTAATTTTTGAGAGAATGTGTCGTTAAAAAAAAAATTTTGTTTTCTGGTAATATTATTATTGAAAATGTGTTTGGAAAAAAGAGAGGAAAAAATGTATTAAAAATTTTAATGGGCCAAACAATGGTTAAAGGTTTGAGTAGAGCTGCTTGAAATAAGAAGCTTCTATGTCTGTCAAAATTTGAATTTTCTTTTATGATGTACTTAAATGATTGCAGTAAGAAAAGATGTTTTGAGAGAAATAATTTATTATACACAGTACACACACAATAATTATATAGTCAGCCCATGACTATAATTAATGTTAGGTACATCTACCTTTTTTATGCAATCTATAAATTGCCTTCCCCAATTTTCAAAACCCATCTGTGCAGTTTTTCTCAATTTCCATAATTTTTTCAGAAATGGAGGGTTTCTCCAATGTATCTTCAACCACTAAAAGGTCTGTGTGTGTCTCTCTCTCTATATATAATGTGCCCAATTAACCAACCAACAAAACTACTTGTTACTATATATATATATATATATATATATATATATATATGAGAGAGAGAGATTTCAAAACCCATCTGTGCAGTTTTTCTCAATTTCCATAATTTTTTCAGAAATGGAGGGTTTCTCCAATGTATCTTCAACCACTAAAAGGTCTGTGTGTGTCTCTCTCTCTATATATAATGTGCCCAATTAACCAACCAACAAAACTACTTGTTACTATATATATATATATATATATATCCGAGCGCCCCCCACCTGGTCTGACAAAGTGCCAAGCAAGCCAATCCAAGTTGCACCTTGCCTTCCAAGAATAATCCTTGCCTTCCAAGTTCCCACTTGCCTTCCAAGAATAAATCCTTGCCTTCCAAATGTTCCCTTGCCTTCCAAGAATAAATCCTTGCCTTCCAAGAGCCCCATGTTTCGAACTCACGACCTCTGCTCTGCCAGGTTTGACAGCGTCCGTCCTTTGCCAGTGGAGAAGTGCCCTGGGGGGCGGCTAGAAGGCAAAGTTGCCATTATTACAGGTGGAGCAAGCGGGTTCGGAGAAAGCAGTGCAAGAACTTTTGCCCGGCATGGTGCGAAAGTTGTGATTGCTGACGTCCAAGATAATAAAGGTCTGCTGAAAACTTTGGCCATTATAAGAAAGACAAATTAATTTATTTAAATTATGTCTTGAACAGGTATGTCAATTTGTGAAGAGCTCGGATCCCTAGAAAACTTTTCATATGTCCATTGCGATGTCACAAGTGACAACGATGTCAAAAACGTTGTCGATTTCACAATGCTCAAACATGGAAAACTAGACATCATGTTCAACAATGCCGGCATCCCTGGAAACATAGATTTCAGCATCGTAGATTCAGACAGTGAAAACTTCAAAAGGGTTTTCGATGTAAATGTTTTTGGTGCATATCTAGGATCCAAACATGCAGCCAGAGCCATGATTCCGGCGAAAACCGGCATAATTCTCTTCACTTCGAGCAATGCTTCTGTTGTTTCAGGTGAATCCCCTCATTCCTATGCAGTGTCGAAACACGCATTAGTGGGATTGATGAAGAATTTGTGTGTGGAATTAGGGCAGTATGGGATAAGGGTGAATTGCATATCACCAGGTGCGGTTGCAACACCACTGCTGACAAAAGCAATGGGAGTGGATAAGAGTATTGTGGAAGAAATACTCTCCGCTTCTTCAAATTTAAAAGGAGTGGTGCCGACGGCGGAGGATGTGGCGAACGCGGCGCTATATTTGAGCAGCGATGAATCCAAGTTTGTGAGTGGAATCAATCTTGTGATTGATGGAGGTTACAGTACAACCAACCAAACTTACACAAAGATGATCAAGAATTTTCTGTCCAAATGAATTTGAATCGTGTCGGAAATTTTTTTTTTTGCATTGAGTCTGGAAAGGATATTTTGCTTAAATTCTATTCTTAAAAGTATCAATAAACTTATTGCAAGATATATTTTTAAATTTTAATCTCGAATCGAATTGTTTCCATATTACGAATCTCTCTTTCTAACATTACTTCATCACTATTGCATGCATCATAAATCGCTAGCAATATTATTCGATTAAAAAAAAATGCCTCGTGCATGTGTTAAATAAATAAAATAAATTATCAATTTATATGCAGAAATAAATACAAATAATTACTTGCACGAGCCGAAAAAATTTAATCTTGTAATATAAGGGTTCAATTTAGATTGTATTAACTACATTAAGTCATAAACCTATAATTTTAAGATCTTCATCGTTGTATTATAATAAGTTGGCAATACAATTGTTTAATTTTATATTAAAGCACGTGACAGAACCAACGAGCAGGGCTTGATAGCGTTTAGGACCGAGCTGCGTCAGTTATCAATTCGATCTTGGATTGAATCAGCAAATTTTTTAAGGAGAACCATCTTGTCTGATTTGCTCCATTCTGTCTAAATTTTAACTCGCCTCGAGACAAATTTAAGTTTGACTTGAATAAGTAGAAATTAAGCTCACCATGTTTCAAATTAAGAAGACTTAAACTAAAACAACATTTTAAACTTCAGTGACTAATCAAAGACATGAACCTAAATTCAGTGACCATTGGAATTTTAAAAATAATAAGTTAGAAATTCTAAACACAAAATAAGAATTCTATTTTCTTTTTATTTGGATGACTTGACAATTTCATTTCGAATCGACCCATCCGGTATATTTTCCACGCGGCTTAAAGCTAAACCTATCACGAGAATCAAAATCCTTGATCAACGGGGAGGAGCATCTCAAAGTGTGGGGCAAAGGATCAAGCGCTTTGACTTTGTCTCCCGGGATCCACCACATGTTGGGTTTGAGAGCCATGTGATGGGTCACTATCCAGCACGGATCGGAGAGTACTTTTAGTCATTAATTGATAAAAATATCAGTCAGTCTAACATATTTTTCAAAATAAGATTTAAGGAGATGGCTAATTTCTTGTCAAGATGAATATTCTATGATCCAACATCCTCCAATAACAAAATTTAGAAGTTTGTTAAGCTTTAAAAAAAAAATGAATTGCATATGGGACTGGCAGTAAATTGGAGGAGAATATTAAAATTGTTTTTATTTGTACATGGTCTTGACAGGTAACCCCTGGCCTGACCCGTAAGCCGAACTTGACCACCAGTTAATGACACCCAGCCATAGATCTAGCTTGGGCCGATTACCAATCAGGGTTAAGGGTTTATTAGGCCCAACATTTATCATTTATAGATGGGCCCTCGCCCTTGTAGAGAAAAAAGATGGTTTTCTAGAAAAGAATTTCAATAATACAATTTTCCACGAAGAACACGAACAAGAACACAACTAGAATAATTCGAGAATTCTCAAAAAATTAAGGTAGAAGATGGAGGAGAAAGAATTTCCATCAGAACCCTCTGGGAAATTCTCTAATGCGCTTCAACCTCAAGAGAAAATGAAATGAAGTTTTCAATGATTTACTAATAATGCATAGAATTTATAGAATTTAAGTCTCTGTACCAGCAACATTTTTTGAAATAATAGATTTTATAATAGTAATTTTTTTAAGAATATGTGGTTCAAAAGTAGGAATTTTTTTTTTTTGGGGAGAATATTTTATTGAAAAATGAAGTTTGATTATCAATATGGAATTTATATGGAAGGAAAATAAATTCTAGACAATTATTGCCTAAAATTTATTTGCAAAGAAATTTCTCAATTAAATGTGTTTGATTGATTTAATTTTCAATGTAAAAAATGTTATACTTGTCCATTTTTATTGATGGGTAGATCAGAGAAATGAAATGTTGATGAGAGAGAAACAGAGAAAAAATATCTGAAAAGTAAAAACTTGTTCTCTCTAAAGAAAATATTCTCTCTGCTTTCACGAAAAATATGATCATGTAACCAAAATGGCAATTAAACGCACTTCAGAGAAAAATGGATTTTTATAAAATAAGGCTCAAGCAGACACTAAATTTAGCAAGATATAATATTTCAATTAAAAGTAACGCTAATTTTCTTCATCAAATTAGCCTTTGAGTGATACTTATTCTTTGAGAAGTGGTTTTGCCAGCTTCATTTTTTAAAACTCAATTTTTTTTCCTCCTAAAAAAGCTCGGTTGATTGCTGACGTTACTGAGAAATGTTGAATCTTAAGAGTTTGAGAATTAAAACTTTATTCTTATGTTGCTCTGTGTTTAGTTTGTCCATCATTCCATCCTATACAATGACTACAGTCCCTTATGATGGAAAATCAGGAGGAGAAATTCAGTATTTTTTGAGACGTGCAGTGCTTGAAAATGTCTTTGCAAGAAATAATATGAAAGAAAAATGGAAGAGTATTTCTCATATATTATTTCCTGTCAGTAACAGTATTTTATCGTTCAGTTAAAAGATGTGAGATATCAAATCTTGAATCACTGTAGGCCAGCTTAACTTTGATGGTGGGTTTTGAAAACCAAAATAAATTTGGCAACCATGTCATCTGTTTTCAGCCTAAATTAGGTCTATTATCTCCAGTTCGCATAAAAGAAAGAAGCAGATGCTTATATGAGTAACAAAGTCAAATACCTTAGACACATAGAATTTTGGCGGAATTTCAATTGGATAAGTTGTAAAGAGACAACATTTCTTTGATGCTATTGGGAGAGAGGATATTGATTGGATGAGACTTGTTGTGCAGAGAACATCCATGCAGGGTTGGGTGAGGGATTATACGTCCTGCTATATTAATTAGTATGTGTGACTTGTTATCAAATTACGGCAAAGAGCAAGGTGATGTTTCATTGCGGTGAGATTTGAGTCACGGAACTTGGGAAGATAATTTTACCAGAGAGATAAAAATTCTAATTTCAGGAAACTTAGTTTTAATGCTTGAGCCTTGAGGTTTTCTAATTGTATGATTTCTGAAGTTTGAGACATAATCCCCACCCTTGCCTCACCCAACCAGAAGGTGTAGTAATGTAATTCTTTCATGGTGCTGCAAATCTTGACACAGCTTCTATGTACATACATTTCTCCTTTTATTAATTGTTTATTTGTTATTTTCAGCTAACAATGGCATACTGTTTGTGACCTGAGTTTTTAGAAAGATTATTACTTACAAACATTTACCTTTGTTTGATAAATAGATGTTTAATGTAGAAACTGGATCTAATCTTTGCGCCATTCCCTTCATATTGTAGGGGACCTATGAGAAAGGAACAAATGATGACATTGAAGAGTTTGTATACCAACTATTAGATATCAATGGTGATGGCATCGTTGGAAGGTAGAATTGGCAGATTTCATATTGATGAATTGCTCCCATTCGTTGTTGTACCTTCTGTTTCAATAATTAATTTTAACTTTGATCAACTACAGGTCTGATCTAGAAGCTGTTTTAACTTCAATGCTCGGTTATCTATTTCATCAAGAATACTCCAAGTTCAGGGGAGACTCACATGATGAAATTGTAGATATTTTTATCAATGCTGCAACTTTTACAAACGATGATACAGAAAGTCATATGTCTTTTGCGGATTTCCGAAAATGGTGTTCCCTTCTTCCATCAGTCAGGAAGTTTCTTGGCAGTTTGATGATGCCATCTGATCCAGGTTTCCAATTTAGCCTCCCAACATTTTTTAGCTTTTCTCTTTTATAGAATATAATTATACACAAGTATAATTGGAGTATTCAGGATATCTCACAATGGCCCATCCTACTTTCACAATTATTGAACATTTGACTTTTCGCATCAATCCAAACTTCTAACATTAGATAATTGGTACATATATAGTTACTTTGTTAGGTAATTATCAAAATTGACCAAATCTCTGAATTTAAATGGAATTTAAAATTTCAAGGCATACCATTCTTTTGGCATAAAAATGAACTCATAAACTTTTAAACGTGAATTCTTATGTTCGGTACATAAATAAGTTAACTATTAAGAATATTAGCACAAAGCTTATGCATATTTTCGGATTGGAATCATACATTAACTGCTAGAAGTATTAATCATAATAAGCTTTGTGTACAACATTTTTACATGCATCATACGTTCAAGTAAAACAAGTGAATATATGATGTATCAGAAATATCATGTAAAAAAGAAAGAAAGAAATGTGCAGTAGATTGATATCCACTGTCTATTCCTAAATCAGAATTTCTTCAATTCTGATATTTGGTCGTGTAGATTTCTTGGATCTCGTCCCTGTTTGAGCACCAAATTTGGCAATTTTATAAGCTTCTACTTGACAGAGGCAATGAGGATTTTATCAAAGGGGATAGGTTTCAAACTGTAAATCTTAACATTGAAAATACGTTGTAGTCTTATGTTAGTATTCTTTTCCAGCTTAATCATGTGGATCTGTGACGTTTTATGATAAAACTGATCACACTTCCAAATCTTTACCATACTAATGGAAATCTGCAGTAGGTCCAAATTTGTAATTTATTCTGTTTATAATGCACGCAAGGGACAAGGGAGCAGGGGAGTTGGAAGAAATTAAGTAATTGGTTCCTACGAATATAGGTTTAACTGAACTCTGCAGTACATCCATTTCTGGCTTAAGATGGGACAGAACCCTCTCATTTTTACATTGGTAGTTTGAAATTTTTCTGTTCAGTCGTATGTTTTCTCGTGCCGGCTGATGAATCAGTGCCCTTGTGCTCAAGAATGCTCTTGTACCAGTTAACCATTTCATCTAAAAGTTTAAATTGTTAAAAGGAGGCCACATTTATTCATTTAAGTCTTGTTTTCAACATGCTTCACGTGAAATCTGGATTATTTTTTTGATCAAAGGTATGACATTTGCATAATTTTCATAAATGAGGGGTGGCAAGACTTGGAACCATTCTGATTCTGCTAGCACATTAACCATCTCATCCAAAAGTTTTTAGATAAGATAGTTAACAAGAACATATAAATTTTTTGTTAAATATATTTAGAAATATATTACTGACACTGCACCTGCCATGCACTTTGTCTTCCTCCATAAAGTGGAGCCAAAGTGTAAATGGGGTTTTCTAAATTATTATCTCTTTCTGTAGGTTCTCAAATTCCTCAACTATTGCATCAGGACAATATAGACCCTAGTTTAATATTGTTGAGAAAGGAATATGCTTGGCATATTGGAGGAGCGTTGCCCCAACATGAACTGGATGAATGGAAACTTTTGTATCATAGTTCTGTTCATGGACAAAGTTTCAACACATTCTTGGGCAACATACAGTGAGTCGCTTCTTTTTGAAATTTTGTCCCCTTCAGGAGATAATTGAATTATGATTCTGTAATATTGCTTATAAGTTGTGTATTATCCACATGACTCTTCAAACGCATGCAGATATGTCATTGCAAATACACGTGTTAAAAGTAAACGCATCGATAATTAGTTATATAAAGATTAGTTGTGGGCATATAAAGATCAATGCGTACAAAAAGGTCATATCACAATACCTTCTCAGTATCCCATCCATTATTGACTTCAGGATTTGGTTTGGTTCCTACACTTGATGCCTAATGTAACAGTTTTATGGTAGTTTCTGAAGAGAACACCGGTGTGGATGTAATTATGCTTATTGAATTTTTGAAGGTATTATCACATCCATAATTTTTATGGGCAACGAAATTAGTGCATTCAAATCAAAGATGTGTGTGTTATCGTAAGCCAATCGATGTTGTTGAGACACTTAAAGATATTACTATTGCTGTTTGTCTCATTTTGTAGTTGTTTGAATAGCTGTGAATGCTAAAAGACTTTTGATCTCAATCTCAGTTACTAGGGTGCTGCTACTATCTTTTAATGAAAGTCGGAATGGGTAACTGTTATGTTAAACTGCAGAAATGATGAAGGGCCTACTGTGTTGGTTATTAAAGATAAAGAAGGTTACGTGTATGGAGGCTATGCTTCTCAGCCCTGGGAAAGGCATGCTGGTTTTTATGGGGATATGAAATCTTTTCTTTTTCAGCTATTCCCGAAAGCATCAATTTTCCGGCCTACTGGAGCAAACCACAATTTACAATGGGTAAGTATTTGAATTGTTCTGGTTGTAGAGGGTCCTTCATAATGTCATATTTGGTTAGCACAATGACCAAGGAGTGCCTCAGAAAAGATCAAGGTTCTTCCTAGATTCCGTTGCCATGACCATCTGGTTCACTTTACTGCCAAATACTGCGTCTCTTTTTTATCACCCTCACTGGACACGAGTATCTGTACAAGGGTCCATCAAACATTTACCCTACTGTAAATGACTCGAATAACAGTGGGTAGACAGTGCTGTGCTTAGCTTTTAGGTCGAGAAACTGGGTTAGGATTGCTAACTTATCATCTTCTGAGGGTAAGGCTGTTTTCTGCAATTTTTGCATTTGAGTACGGGCCTTGGACTAGCGTACAGCTATAGAATGATTCAAATAGCACCAGAGATTCAATATACTCTATATTAATCATTATGGACAATAGAAAAAAATAAATTGAAGTTGATGTGAATCAAAGTTCACCAAATTTGTGGTTAAGCACGTGTTAACGTTTTGCTGATTCTTTTTTAAAATGCATATAAAAAGGTTTGAAATGTCTATAGACAGTCACCCAAGCACAGTAATGGTTGGAACTGACAACGATTGAATTTTAAATGCTGTTAAAGTAACAGATCATGGATTACGGGAAGTCTAAGCATTAGGCCATAATACTTTTGTTGAAGGGGTGAGTGAGCTCAAGGCTGTTCTGTACAAGTGTGATGACCCTAAATTTATCAGGAGTGATGTCTCATGTGGAAGATGATGAATTGAGCGTAAGCACAGTTAATATTATCTGTTTGCAGTACTGAAAGGATCCACCACTCTTTCCTATGTATGGAAATTTTGAAATAGGGGTTGTTTTTGCGTATAGAGCCTTGGACACTACATCTGAGGTGAGACAAATACGGGGCAGTGATAATGCAGTGAGAAGATTAGTCGGTGGTGGAATTTTCTAGGGAATGTTTGAGGTAAAAACTCACTCTGATAGAAAGGTTAGTCTTCACCGGAACCTAAATATTGAAATTCCTTGCAGTTAACCTATAACCCAAACTGTGTGTTAGGTTTTAATGTGACTGTGCAGAGCCATTGAAGTCAAATAAGTTCCTCTTGAAATCATGGTTACAAAGAATACTGTCTCTTATTCAATCCCTTAAGTGTAGAATCTAATGCCACACGAAGGTGATAGCCACCACAGGAAAGGCAGGAAATGTGCTCATCCCACGAGTAGTCGTATGTGGAAATTTGTAGGTTCAGCTGACAACCTGCATTTGCTGAGAATTATGTAAGTGCTCAAAGTGGGAAAGTTACTTTAAAGAGTGAGTCAACTAGTAATGCCATGTCTATTGGACATTGTCCTCCCACAATCTTTTAAAAGTCAAAAGTGGCCTGGTACATGTCTCGTTTCTTTTACACTTCCTGTCCTTTCCATTTTGGCTGTCGCAATTTGTTAGAGAATCCTCACTTTTTTAAAACACGCACTTTCAACCTTCTGTTTTTATCTTTGACTACAAACTTTTTATCTTTTGCAATTTTCTTTCCCATCCTCCCTCTTAAGTTGCAGAGCCTCTCTTTCTTTCTCATGCATCTTCCGCTATCTTGACACTCCTCTCAACTGATGACAACCACCATTAGCTCACAATTCACCACTTCCAGAGCTCCCGCCTCAAAACCTGTTGCTATTACGACCAACGACATGATGAAAACAACTTGGCAAAGTCATCACGGCACCACCACCTTCTTATTAAACATACCTCTAACTCTCTTCTTTCGTAGTTTTACGAATATTCGCTCAAATTCAAGCCAGAGAATCCAACTCACCTGGCAAATCTGAAAGATTTCTAGTTTTGGTCAAGATGAGGCCATTGAGTTTGAGAGGTCTTTTAGGTGCTCTAGGCCACCATGTATCAGTTACTTTTAAAATTATATATTTGCTTGGGATGTTTTGACATGATGGTGTTGGCATCTGCGTAGGGAGGCTGACAGTGGTGCCCCAACACTTTCCTTTTCCATATTGTAATGCGTTTTGTATCAATGGCGGTGGCCACCTTAGAAGTACATTCGAGTGCAACCTGATGGTACTTTTTGATGATTTTCAAGGTGGTGTCCTAGCAATGTTAAGACTGACTCTGTTTTTTTAGTGTCGGGCGAACACAGATGACATAATTATCAAACCTCAAGTATCGTTCCAAGTAAAAAACTAGATATGCAAATGCATGATAAAATTTAATTGTGTGCCGTATGCTTTTCCAAGTTGTTGTCACAATACGCTTTGATAATATATTTAATTTCTTCTAATGCTGTTAAGATATTTTAATAACCTTTTTATTGGCAGTGTGCTGTGAATTTCAGTTCGGAGAGCATTCCAAATGGCATTGGTTTTGGAGGTAGAGTTAATCATTTTGGTTTGTTCCTTTCAGCAAACTTCGATCAAGGGCACACTTTAGTTTGCACCACCTTCGGAAGCCCCTGCCTATCGAAAACCCACCAAATATACCCAGAAGTAATTGAATGCTGGGGGGTTGTGCCATATAAAGTTGAAAAGGATAGGTCTGAGGTTATAAAAGGTACAGTGCTGGAAAGATTTAAGGAGGATCGCCATATGCTTAACATGGTTGGCCTTGCAAATTCCAGCGAGTAGTGTGAATATATCGACTGTATGGTTATCGCTGCCCTCTTTTGCCTTGTACACGACAGTTGTATTTGTGTAACTGGAGAGTTAAACAGCAGAAATGAATATCTCAGCAACTGCTACTTGGCATTGGTGCGTCCTAGTCACTCTCCTGTTCACCTGTGCGAGACTGAGAGTACAATTTCTAAAGAAATCATGACTTGTTATTTGTAGACATGACCAGATAATTAGTAACATTATGGAATTGAAACCGTTTTCACGGGTTTTCTTCTACTTATTATTATTGCTGTTGTAAGAGCCTCAAAGTTGAGGAAATAAACGCAATAATGGCTTCCAGCTTGAAAGGCCGAGTGCGATTTTCATTCCACCACAGTAAGTGGAGATTTGATTGGATGAATTTTTTGTTTCTTTTATAAAGAAAAAAAAATGGAAATGAACGTTTCAACTAAAACACTTCCTAAGTCCACTTCATAGATGTTTTCCCTGAACAATTTAATGTATGGCAAGTAAACATTGTGTTGAAGAAATTTGAAGGTTCCTTTCTTACATCTGCTTCGGTTCGCAACGGTGAGTTTCTAGTTCAGCATTCTGATTCATTACTAAAACCTCAGCCTGCACACATACAAACTATTGCAACCAAAAGCTTTGTGTCTGAATGACCAATCCCCCAAAGTGATCGATGCACTCAAATTCATTTGACAATCTATGTTCAATACTTTTCCGAAGGATTTAGTGAAACTTGATCGAAAAAGTTTGGAATCAAAGAATCAAATAAATTATAACCAAATATTCGTAAGCCTAAAGAACCAAAAGAGATGGTTCCCAGGCAAAACAAACACGCAATTATGCATTGTTACACCGGATGGAAAACAAGAAATTAATGGCTGGTTCTAGTGATGTCAATGTAGCACTCAGCAATATTAGTAAAGGGGAAAAAATAAGGTTAAAATCTTGTCTCTTACAAGCTCCAATCATGTTCTGTAAGATCACATACCAAACATATCCAAATCTTTAAGCAATTCCAACATTTAAAACCACATTGAATGGATTTCACAACCTAAGAATTCAAACCTCAAGGAGGCAAAGACAAAAGTAAAATTTCCAACTATCCAATTTAAAGCTAATTGCAGCAGTACTAATACCCCTCTAAGCTTTGCTTAGTTCTTCACTGGTTACACTGAAGAGCCACATTTATTCAACCCCGAATAGAAATCCATAAAATTCCAAACTTCATCAACATTCAAATTAAGAAGAGCAATAAGATTATCATAAAAGTCGATAATGCAGAAAGTCACAAATTCGCAAAAATGCATAATCCAGAAGTGTCAAAACATTTCGACAGAAATTAGCAATAACCCATTACTAAAAAAGCATCCAACAACTCACATTAACCCAAAAACCTCCAATTCAAACCATTTCGTTGATATATTTCAGTACCGCCTACCGCTGCCGCGGCCGTATGTCATTGCCGGAGCCACGTTAATCGGGCCCTGGTCCTCCCTAAGAACAACCCCAGGAAGATCCTTCATTCCAAGAGCCTCCAACAAATCAACAGTCTCCTGATCAACCTCAATGCGATCGGTCTTGATGGCGGATTCATCAGGAACAAAGTCCATGCGACGCTCGCGCTCCTCCTCCTGCAGCTTCAGGGAGATCCCACGAACGGGTCCCTTCTGGATCCGCTTCATGAGATGGGTCGAGAACCCGGCAATCTTGTTGCGGAGGCGCTTCGAGGGAATGATGGCTACCTCCTCCAAGACCTTCTTGTTGGTGTGGAAATCGAGTGTCATCTTGGAGTAGTATCGCTCGATGACCTGGCGGGAGGACTTCTTCACTGTCTTTGTGCGGACACGACCCATTTTCTTGCTTGCTTGGTGGTGGCTTGGAGGCTGAAGGTGGAGATTTGAGGAACACAACAGAGGAAGAGAACTAGGGTTTGCAGAAGGGGCTAGGGTTTGAAGGTTTATATATTCAAGGGAAATTTCATTCAACTACTCCGAGAGGTTAAAAATATCAAAACAACCCTCCAAGTTTTTGGGGAAATACATGGAAATGACCTTTTCAAAAGGGTTAGGGGGTGTTCTCTTTGTGTTTTGAGTTTTGAATTCATTTTGAGTTTTGTGTTTTGAGTGTTTGTTTTGAAATTGTTGAAAATGCTTTTTTTTATTAGTTTCTCAAAACAATAAAAAATGAATTTTTTTTTTTTTAATTTTGAGAATCACTACAACACCACCTCAAAACCCTGAGTTTCCCGCGTTTTTAATTTTTTCAAATTTTACACTGAAAACGTCCAAAACGACAAAAAAGTCGTTTTGTGTTTTCTTCACAATTTTTTTTTTTCGTTTTCGAAAACAGGAAAGATAACACGTTTTCACCATTTTGAAAAATCGAAAACAGAAAACGGCCCGAAAACGATAAAGAGAACAGGGCCTTAGTTTTCCAAAATGGTCCTTAGGCAAATTTCATACCAAAAATACCCTCCATTTGAATATTACATAACAAGGTACTATAATATAAAAATTTTCTATTTTAGTTCTTAAAAATTTAGACATTGGTTGAAACTTGATAATTTTATTTAATTTGTTTGATTAATATTTTTATTTGATTTATGGTCGCTCTAAGTAGCACCCCTATTTATTGGTATCAAAGCCATAGAGATCATGAAAATTAAAATAAAGAAAATAAATAATTATTGGTGTTTAGAAGAAGAAAAATGTAGTTATATATTTTTAAAACATATTCATAGTAAATTAAAAATAATGACTTTGACAATAATTACAGAACTTCCTAAAGAAATAAAAGAACAAATATTAGAAAAATTAATAATAGAAACAATAAAGGACATATATACATATAAGAAAATTATTAGTATATATGAAGATGAAGAAAATAATTTATATTATAAAGAAAAATATTAGTACAATTGATAATACACATCAAAAATTAAATAAATTACTTTTAAAAATGAATAAAATACAAGAAGAAATAGGAAATATAATGTTAATACCAGAAAGAATGAGAATACCAAATAATGGACAATTAACAAAATTAAAATTTGAAAGATTAAGACTTGAGAGCAAATATTTCACTATAGTAAAAGAAGAATTAGTAGATCCAGAAACAGTTGAGAGAAGATTTAGAAAAATAATAAATAAAAAAGAAGATAAAAGATGCAAATTAATTTATGAGTTAGAAATAAGAAAAAATTAAAATGCCAATAAGTGAATACATGGAAGAATTAAAATCATTAATAAAAATGTTAATAAATGATATACAAGATTTAAGAAATGAAGTAAAAGAAACAAGAAACGATATAAATATATTAAAATTTGAAATTAGAGAATTAAAAGAAAATAATAAGAATAAAGATAAGAAAATAGATAAAAAAAAACTTATAGAAAAAGAAATGACTCGAATATGAAAGAAACATATAGAAAAAGAAAATATAGTAGTAGAAACAGGAAGCATAGATGATAAATTTAGAAAAAATATATTACCAAAGATATTAGAAGAAAAAGAATAATTTAGAGAAAAATCATTAGGAAAATTAAAAATAGAAGAAAAATAAGATAAAAATGAATGAAGAGTTAGATTTATTAATAAAAAATTTTGATCAGTTAAACTTAACAACTATAAGTGAATACCAAATTTTAATGAATACTGGAGGAGGACCTAATCCAACAGAAACCTCTAAACAAGAATTACATGATACAGATAAAAGTTATGCACCCATATATAATAAATCATATGGACAATTTTATGATAAAGTAAGAGATAAACAACCATCTAAAGGAAATAAATATAAAGATAGGTTTGAATTAAATGATAACTATGATAAACCAATTAATCATGAAGGAACAAAATTAGATTTAAATTGTAAAATAGATACTAAAAAAGCTTTATTAACTTGGGCAGACTCGATGATATTATTATTTTTATATAATAAAGATGACACATGGGAAAGTACTGAAAGAATAATAGATTTTTTAATAGCATCATTTGAAGGAGAGTTAGAAATTGGTGAGAATGAATAAATAATGATACAAAAATATTAAAAAAAAAAAGAAATGTACAAACAGAAATAATCAAATCAGATAGATAAGATATAGAAAAATTAGTGGAATATATTTCTGATGAATTCTTAGGAGAAAATTGGATAAGAAATACAGAAAGAGAAGAAATAAGAGAAAAAGATAGTGCTATGATTAAATTAATATATTTAACAATATGTTATATGTGTAAAATTAAAGAATATACTTGTGAATTTAGAAACTATTACTAGGTTCAATTTTATAGTAATGAAAATCAAGAAGTATACCAAGATATGTACTATAATAAATTACCAGGTTTTTAGGGAATATATTTTAAAATAGAATTTGAAAAATATGTTAGAGATAATATTGGAATACCTAGAACTTTAGGTTCAAGAATAAAATTTTTATTTGAAAGACTTGCATATATATGTCAGCAAAGACAATTAATGAAAAAATCAAGAAAATTAATTAGAATATGTTGTGAAGATATGAAAACTCCTGTGCAATGGGGATGTTATTCTGAGAGAAGAGTTAATAAAATAAAATATAAAAATAAAAATTTTAAAAATTTTAATAAAAAATATATCAAACCTAGAAGAAGGTATTATAAAAGGAAAAATAACTCATATAATCAACAGAAAAATAAGAATTATAAGAAAAATAAAAGCCAATGTAAATATTGGAATTGTGGAGAGATAGGTCATATAAGCCCTGATTGATATAAAAAAGTTAGAATACTACAAAAAAAAATTTAGAAATAAAGGATAAATTAAGCGAAATATCAGATATTGAAGAATATTATGATCAAAAAGTATATATAAGTGAAACAGAAGAAGATGGATCAGGATCTGAATAAAGAAATTGAAGAAATACAAAGTAATAATATAAATATACAAGAATATGAAGGAATAGAAGGCTATGAATTAAAAGTCACTTTTGACAATAACAAGTTTAGAAAATTGCAAAAATTATCGTTAGACTTAAAAATAGGAAGATGGGAAGTCTTTGATAGAATTTGGAAAAGAGAAAGAATAGCAATAAACGAATATCACAAAATAGAAAAAATCATAGATGTAAGAACAACATATGGATAACATAAATTAAATCTTTTAACAAAAAATACAGTTGATGAACTATTAACAAAAATTAGTAAAAAACAAAGTGGAAAAATCCAATATGTTTATTTAGTAGGAATACAAATAATGTTTAAATCACTATTTAGAGAAGGGATAGATTCACCATTAATTATAACCTTACATGATGGAAGAATAATAAATTTAAAAGATAGTCATTTGAGAACAATAGAAGGGAATTTAGCATATCAGAAAATCAAGTTTACATGTTATCCAAAATATTGTGTATCATTAAAAGATAGAAACTTTAATGAAGTTTTAGGATTACATTTCAAGTTTCATAGAGATGATATTATACAACTTGATGATCAAATTATGACTATAGAATATAAAGCTTTGTACTCATTTACTAATTCTAATTATGGGAATATTTATTTAAATAAATCATATATTGAAGTTCATAAAGAATGTAAAGATATTAGTAAAATAATAGAACCAATTAAATAAATAAGTTTAATTCCAGAAGAATATGAATTTGGCACAACAAAAAAAAACCTGAAATAACATAATTAAATGAAGGAGAATGTTCTAATAACATAACATTTAAGAATGGAAAATTGATCAAAAGATCAAAAAGTCTTAAAATGCCTAATAAAAACCGGTTAGAAGAACCAACAAAATAAAAAAATAAAATTATATAGGAATGCTGGAAACATGAAAATAGAAGGAGAATATTATAATGGAAGAGAAAATATAAATGGACCAAATATATTAATAGATACAGAAGTTAGTGAATGTCATATAGCTTCGATTAGAAACAAATGACTAATAACTCATAAAACTGAGCCATATAAATATGTAAATTTTGATAGACAAGTACATATAACAAATTTGGAAGTTAAAGTACCAATAAAAATAGGAGAAATAGATCTTTTAGTACCATATTACATAAATAGGAGTATGGATATAAACCCTCATATACTTTTGGGAATGAGTTTTTTAAATGGATTAGAAGATTATAGTATAAAAAGAGAAGTATTATATATTGTTCATAATGGACAAACTATATTATGTAAAACATATTAGATGAATAATCAGATAAGTTTTCCATTAGCAGTATATATACAAATTACTATTGTAGAAACAAATATTACAACTTGTGCTTTGATAGATACAGGAAGTGATATAACAATATTTAAATTTTTTTTAATAAAATCATGAAATAAAAATAGTAATATAAAAATAACTGGTGTTACAGGAGAAAGTACTCAAATAATAAATAGTGCTGATAAAATTAATATAATTTTTGGAAGTAAACAAGTAACAATAAATAAAATTTATAAATATAATAAATTAGAATGTGATATATTATTAGGAAATGATTTCATACAACAATTTCAATATTATAAATAAAATAATTATATGATAATGTTACAAACATCTTGTGGACACTTATTAAAAATTTCTAGAGAATTTAAACCTTATAAAGTTCAGCCAGCCCAGCGTGGTGATAAATGGGAGAAAAAACCAATTTTTAATAATGAAATAAAAAATAAAATAATATTATATAAGAATGTTCTAAAGACAGGAATAGAAATGAATATAGAAAAAATTATTGAACAATTAGAAAAGATTTATAGAGAAAATCCATTATTATTTTGAAAATCACATCACCCAAAAGCTAAAATAAAATTAACATAAAATGTTATAATAAGAGTAAGACCAATGATGTATACAATAGAAGATACACAAGAATTTAAAAAATAGATAAAAGAATTATTAGAACAAAAACTTATTAGACCTAGTAATGGATCTCATAGTAGTCCAGCCTTTATGGTTATGAAA